GAACTTTCATTTCTACCATTTTCAGATAGGGTACTAGTACTATTTTCATTCTGAAATCCAAAAGTACACACATAAAGATTCCGAATATACACTAAGTATAATAATTAAGCAATAAAGTTTGTTATAAAACATTTATTGTGATCAAGAATATATTCAAGATGTGCCACATATTCAGTCTTGATTTAAGATAACCAAAATACAACGAATAAAACCATCACTACATTGACAGGATATGATGATATCATTCTTTGAAGTAAGTATATTTGAGGAATATATATTTTGAATATTTGATATGAATGTAGGAAGGTTTTAGATTGTCATAGTGAAGAAATAGGCTGCTGATAGTTAGCTAATATATATAATGATAGCAAGTGGTAAAGTGAAAAGTTTGCTCACGACAATGAATAATGATGGATGTATACCCCCCCCACCCCTGTCTACATGAACTAATCATAAAAGTGCAAGTTGGCAATGGAATAAAGTTTGTTTTCCAATAAGAGAACATACATATAGCCAGACGATTACATAACAAAGTAGAAATGATGAGGTTTCATTTCATAAAAATGATGATTAGAAAGTATGGGTTTTGTTGATCATTAAGTTTGAAATGGTATTAAGACCTGAGTGTCAGATTTGATTCTTACCAATCATACCATTGACATGGATGTTTAATTTAACTTTGAACATATTCCATTTAAAACTCTCTCTTAGAAATGATTGAACACATATGATCAAATTAAGAAGTTCTAATTTACAACTAGATCAAATTTAAGAGTTGGTTATTCCTTGAAATGTTCTCATGTGCACAGATTAATACTCACTGATCACTTAATTTCCTATACACTTTAGATAAACAGATTGTATAGTTACACTAAGTAAATTGATCCAACCTTTTGATTTAGATAAAGAGTATTCAAGAAAATATTAATTTAGTTCCAACAACGCAACTGTAAATTATCAGAACATTAATAACTTTAGCCCTTTGGTTATTAACATTTACTCATCAGATCATCATAATAGTCAGGAAATGCTTAAAATACTCATTCACCTAACCATTATCATATGAATGTTTTTTCTATCCCTTCAGAAGCATCTGGGTTGAATATATATCTGTAAATCTATATCTATGACGTTACTAATGAGTAGAATATGAGAATCTTTGTAGACAACTCGCTTGCTTGGTAAAATAGTAAACTTTACAAACACTTGACCATTTTATATCATTATGTGGATGCCCACTGGTATGCATTTCCGACGTTACCCATTCGATTGACTGCAATTCATTTGGAAACACACATGTCTGATTATGATGATTTGTTGAATATTTTTTTATTCTTTGTCTATCAGTTCTATTGAGAAGTGGTAACTAGTGAAGTTCAATCGGGTCTATTGTGAGATATTAACTCACTAATGACTATGGTTGATGTGTCGCTCAATTCTGTGGATTAGTTGAAGTTAGACATTAACACCGTTGGATGTCAGCTGGCTCAGTGGTCTAATGATCAAGCGCTCGCACGCGAGACTGATAGGTCCTAGTTTCGAATCCTGCTAGGCGGGTTCGTGGTTGCTCATTGCTGAGGAGTCGCACAATAGTATGAAACGCTTGTCCAATGCTTCCAGGTTTTCTATACTAGTCTAGCTTCAATTGACTCGTAATCTCAACTATTAAAATTTAAATCTACCTCTTGGAGATCATCATAAACCGATTACATAGGACTACAGTTAGAACTTAGTCTTATAAAACTTGATATTCATTAGTTATGAAAATATTAGACGACATCATACAAGAATACCGTTAAGAATGTCGACAGGATTTCATATTTTAAAATACCCAGTAAATCTTTATATCATCAGAATATTGTTTTTTCTCTTTCAACAAACGATTAAACAAATCATAAATAAACATTAAAAATCAATAATCCATGTAATTTACCATTTCAACTAATTTTCTACAATAATCTTCAGGATTTGTTTCAGTTAATTGATAATACATACATCCTTTACTTGTACAATAAGCTCCATCTATTTTACATATACATTTACGGCAACCATCATGAAATCTATATGATTTCAAGAAGAAAAGATCAATAATTCGTTAGAAATATGTTTTCAATAAGACTTCAATATCATCTTTTATTGATTAAGCAAAGATAAGTAAGATTTCTATGAAACATTCAAGAAATCAGCAATCTTTGTATCAGTAGACCTCAACATACACAAGGGGAAAACCAACGTCCTCAAATACAACACGGAGAACAGCAATCCAATCAATCTTGATGGCGAAACTCTGGAAGATTTAAAATCCTTCACATACCTAGGAAGCATCATCGATGAACAAGGAGGATCAGATGCAGATGTAAAGGCGAGGATTGGCAAAGCAAGGACCACATTCCTACAATTGAAGAACATATGGAACTCAAAACAACTTTCAACTAACATCAAAGTCACAATATTCAATACTAACTTGAAGATAGTTAGTTCTACTTTACCGAGCTGAAACTTGAAAAAACGACTACAAACACCATCAAGAAGGTATAAGTATGTATAATTGGTTGTCTACACAAGATACTCAACATCCATTGGTGGGATACGATCAGAAACAGAGTTTTGTGGGAGAGAACAAACCAGCTTCCATCTGAAGAGGAAATTAGGAAAAGACGATGGAAATAGATAGGACATAGATTACGCAAATCATCAAACTGCATCACGAGGCAAGCCCTAGCCTGGAATGCTGAAGAGAAGTGGAAACGAGGAAAGCCAAGAACACATTACGTCGAGAAATAGAATCAGATATGAAAATGATGAATAGGAACTGGAAGGAGCTGGGAAGGATTGCTTGGGACAGGGTTGGTTGGAGGATGCTGGTGGTTTGTTTATACTCCTTTACGAGTAGTAACAGGCGTAAGTAAGTAAGTAATTTAAGAAATCTTCATTACCTTCAATCTTGTTGTTCTTCTCCTTTAAAGGATCAATCAACAAATTAACCATCATTTTCAACATAGAAAACTATTTGTTCTAATAGGAGTGATATATGTAATTACGTCTCTATTTATGAATATGAAATCATAAAAAATCTTTAATTAAGAAATGTTGTAATAAATAAAGTGTAGTATTTGTCAAATAACATTGATTTATAACACTCCACTTCTCAAATCTCCATATTCACTATTCTAAACATACATAGAAATCTTGAAAAGTCAACAGTTTTCAACTCTCTTAATGTATTGCATTTGATTGGAATTGTGTCGTTATGTGATTTTTGCAAAATTAAAAAAATTTATCAGTTATTGGAAATCGTATATGATTCTTCACATCGAATGTTTTGATCACTAATCGATCTAGATGATCGTCTTCACCTTGAATCATTCTTAAAGTCTTTAAAGGCGTAGTTGGAGCGTTCAGTACACTGAAGAGTGATTTTCAACAATTTTTGGAGATATAATTATATTGTATAAGTATAGATTCAAATTGTCTATTAGAAATTGATATACATATGAATATGATGATATTAATGAATTACAAATGATCAAAACTTGGATGTGATGAACTTGGTTATCTTAAGAACTATTTGATAATACAAAATGTTAATACATTCAGAGAAATGAAGTGTTTTTTTTTAAAAATAGTTTTTCTATCTCTAAGATGAAACTTATGTACACGGAAAGAATTTGGCAACTTTCAACTTGACTAGAAGTAGGATTTCACATAAATCATCTTTCATTTCTGTCCTTCTATGGCCCTCAAATGCCCTGGAATGGCTGAGAATGGGGAGGGGCCCGCTCCCCCTCTAGAAATGCTTTTACACGGCCACGCATATACAGCCTCTACCAGGGAAGTCCTACTCACTGCCTCCTCGTGGCATAGCTGTTGCTTACAAAACTGAGAGGACGGAAAGCGAATGTTCGACGTTTCAACCGGATCTCAAACCAATGGTGCACATGGGCTACAGTATCCTGAAGGTACAAATGGCGTATGAACCAATTTCTTCGTCACCGGCTACCATGGGACTGCATCTCCTCACGATGCCCCACCGCCTTGTGGGTCGGATCTTTAGGCCAAAGGCTCCGAGTGTGGCTCCCTAAGAAAACCACCTGCTTCCCTCTGGGCACCTGAGCAGTATCACAGCTCACACACAAACAGAATGAAATGACGATACTTACGGTAAATACTATTGTTGCTTCGATTAACAGTCAAACAATTCACATTATTATTATTATTATTTACCACGTCACTCATTCACTCTCTTTTATTCCCACTTTGTGTACCCTTATTTTTCGACTTATACAGCAGCTCACCTATGGTAGAAACTCTGTTCTATCTAAATGATCTCGAGTTACTGACTGGTTGAAAAATGAGTGCTACCACCAAATAAGGTGTAGCGCATATATATTTGATGCCCTCCCCCCCCCTCTTATACCAATATTTATGTGTTCAAATCTATGAAAATAAAACATATTCAAGAGTAATTCTGTAAACAAGAGCAACTTAAATGAGAAGTATTATAAGGTATTCATCAAATAAAGTTCATTGGAACAATCAATAAACTTACAAAAATCCCACATGATGTTCTGTACAATAATTATCATGATCCAATATACATACAATTTCCATATTACTACCATCTATTTTATTTATTAATGTTTTATGCTTAATTAATGTTGAATCATTATTCCTTATCATCATCATAATCATAATCAGTAGTATATTCAATGTTAAATTCATTTTCCAATCAAATTCATTTATTCTATACTTCATATTAATGATTATCTTAATAAAACTAATCTTCTATTGTAAATAATAAGAATAATGTTAAAATATGCAGACGTAAAATGAAGTTTATTTTCCCGCGAAAATTCGTACAATTTTATAACCGGGAAAAATAAATTCGTATTATATATATATATTCACTTTAGTTAAAGTTTTTTTCTTTTGTTTGTCTAATTTGACAGCTATAAATTATGATTATTATTATTATTAACGAAGAAGAAGAAGAAGAAGAAGACCAAAGAACACATTACATCGAGGAATAGAAACAGACAAACATGAGAAGAAGAAGAATGAACAATCATTGAATAGAACTAGAATAGAATACCCAGAATAAAGTTTGTTAAAGAATGCTGGTCAGCGGGTCTATCCTCTATTGGGAGTAACAAGCATAAGTAAATAAGTCATTAATAACGAAAATAATCGTGTAAATCATAATCCGATTTGTCAACATTATTGAATAAGTTATTAGCATGTTTGTTTGTTTGTATGTTTTCTCGGTATAAAAAGTGTACACAAACATACTACTGAAATGGTGTAAGAACCCTCAGTTCTTATGAGTTTATTTTTTATTCCCATTAAAGAAATCATAATTCTAATTACTGGTAGTCATAAATTATTGTTGTCGTCAAGTAGGACTGTACAAAAAAAAGACAGGAAACATAGAAGAAATATATTCACAACAACACTAAGCTATAATATATATATATGTAGTATGAATAAACTGTAAAGTGGGGGGGGGAAATATAAAAACCAACTAAGTATATGATATTTATTTAATTTTAATTTAAAACAAAAGATTTTGCTACTTATTTCTTTATTCTTTCATTGCAGGTATTCTAATTCAGGCATTTCATTTAGTTTTACCTTTATCGAAATATTGATATTCACAGTGATGTTGATAACTGGTATCTATAGCTTTCAACTCTAATGTGGTTATCAACTAAGTAATTGGAGACAATTACAGACTATTAGAATCTACAGGGAATATTGAAATATTCGTTCAAATAGTTAATAAATGTTTATGAAATCAGTCATAAATATCAACTATGAGAAAATAATAGTGGTTAAATAGGGAATTCTTTAACAAACTTACTTACATAAGCCTGTCACTACTCGTAAAGGAGTATAAACAAACCACCAGCATCCTCCAACCAACCCTGTCCCAGGCAAGCCTTCCCAGCTCCTTCCAGTTCCTATTCATCATTTTCATATCTGATTCTATTTCCCGACGTAATGTGTTCTTGGCTTTCCTCGTTTCCACTTCTCTTCAGCATTCCAAGCTAGGGCTTGCCTCGTGATGCAGTTTGATGATTTGCGTAATGTATGTCCTATCTATTCCCATCGTCTTTCCCTAATTTCCTCTTCACATGGAAGCTGGTTTGTTCTCTCCCACAGTAGCCTGTTGTTGCTGATGGTATCCGGCGAATGGATGTTGAATATCTTGTGTAGACAACCAATTATACATACTTATACCTTCTTGATGGTGTTTGTAGTAGTTTTTCAAGTTTCAGCTCCGTACAGTAGAACTAACTATCTTGAAGTTGGTATTGAATATTGTGACTTTGATGTTAGTTGAAAGTTGTTTTGAATTCCATATGTTCTTCGATTGTAGGAATGTGGTCCTTGCTTTGCCAATCCTCGCCATTACATCTGCATCTGATCCTCCTTGTTCATCGATGATGCTTCCTAGTTATGTGAGTGATTCTAAATCTTCCAGAGTTTCGCCATCAAGATTGATTGGATTGCTGTTCTCCGCTTTGAATTTGAGGACCTTGGTTTTCCCCTTGTGTATGCTGAGGCTTACTGATGCAGAGACTGCTGCTACACTGGCTGTCTTTATCTGCATTTGTTCGTGTGTATGCGATAGGATGGCTGGGTCATCTGAGAATTCCAAATCGTCTAATTGATTCTGAGCTGTCCATTGTATTCCGTGTTTTCCTTCAGATGTTGAGGTCTTCATAGTCCAGTTGACCACCAGAAGAAAGAGGAACGGAGAGAGTAAACAGCTTTAGCTGACTCTGGTCCTTAATTGGAATGTATCTGTCAACTGTCCTCCATGCACGCTTACCAGAAAAATAATTCAAATTTGACATCAGGCATAAATTTACTATCGTCATTGAGGATAAATAAATATATCATCTCTTCTTTTTATGAGTGAATCAACATTGAAAAACAAACGAACAAACGAAGGAGACTATTTGATTCATTAAAAAAGAAAAAAAAAGAAAACGTTTCAGTGAAGACAACTTGAAGAGATCTTCAACTTCATATGTGATAGATAAATAGGTATCCTTTCATACTAATGATCGTTTGTTGAAGTTTTGGTTATTATTTAATATTTTCCGTATAATTTATATATATTAAAAGCAATTGTATTTTCAGTACGGTGAATTAGTTGTGTTTCATTACTTAAGAAACAACTCCGCCTGGAGTTCCTCTGGGGGCTACTGCCGGTTCCAAGCCTGGATAAAGGAGGAGGGTTGGGCATGTAGTTAGCGATCCTATCCCATAGGAAACTAACTCGCTAAATAAAACGCTAACCAGAAATTAAGAAACAGTTTAAAATTATGAAAAAATTCATATAAAATATGAACAAATAAAAGATGAAATTACAACAATTAGTCAAAGGCTTGAAGACTAATCAATGGTTATAGATTATTGTTTAGATACTAACCATGGTGATAGCTTTCAATAGTCCAGTGAATCATTAATCATTGAATTCAAAGACAACCCATTGTGACTACATTCCAAAATTGTTATGAAATTCAAAACTTCATTTGTGATGTGTTACATCCCGATAAGAATAATGAATGGTAACGTTTGGGATCCATTCATGGACCAATACTAAACGTATATTTTTATCATATAATTGTTAAGTAACTAAACTATCCATATTCGTGTTCCTCTTATTATGAGCTTTATTTTGACCTATGAACTATTATTATACGATTTACTATTCTTGAATTATGCCTTGTCAATCAATTACTATCTTCCTCATTCACAGCCACATCTGGCTAATTCTTGTACAAATGTTGTTTCATATTTTATTGGTACGTTGTGGTCTGTTTGATTGGTATATAAACTCAGCATGTTTGAAATATTAGGATTCATATTGCAGAGGCTGGGATTGGTGTTTTGGACTTAACTGGCTGGGCTAGACAGAAATCAGGACTGATAAACATTCTAGACTGTTCGTACGGGTTTTACGCGCTTTTGATCTGATCGATATTTCGCTGCTTCTGATTTGCGGCTCTGGGCTATAACACAATATTTCGATAGTTTGACTAGATGAACATTCATTACTGTATGAAAGCCAAAGTGTTTTTAAACGATAAACAAATATAAAGATTAGTCTTATGAGTTGAAGTTTCAAAATAACTGTTGGATGATAGTCGAAGTAACTACAAACATGCTTCACCGTCTATTCAAGAATTATTGGAAGGAGGTACAAGTGCCGATATACTGGAAAGAAGGACACCTCATCAAAATTCCAAAGAAAGGAGACCTAAGCAAATGTGAAAACTACAGAGGCATCACACTACTGTCAATACCAGGGAAAGTCTTTAACAGAGTGTTGCTGAACCGGATAAAAGAAGCAGTAGACGCCCAACTTCGAGATCAACAAGCTGGATTCCGTAAGGATCGGTCGTGCACAGACCAAATTGCGAAACTACGGATAATCGTCGTACAATCAGTTGAGTGGAACTTTTCAATGTACATCAACTTCATTGATTACGAAAAGGCATTTCACAATGTAGATGGTGGAACATTATGGAAACTTCTTCGACACTACGGAGTTCGTGAGAAGATTGTCAATATTATCCGGAACTCATACGACGGACTGCAGTGCAAGGTCGTGCATGATGGACAGATGACAGACGCATTCCAAGTAAGGACCGGAGTCAGATAAGGCTGTCTACTGTCTCCCTTCATCTTTCTTTTGGTGGTCGACTGGATTATGAGGACCTCAACATCTGTAGGAAAACACGGAATACAATGGACAGCTCAGAACCAATTAGACGATGACCGCATTCCTACAATTGAAGAACATATGGAACTCAAAACAACTTTCAACTAACATCAAAGTCACAATATTCAATACCAACTTCAAGATAGTTAGTTCTACTGTACCGAGCTGAAACTTGAAAAACTACTACAAACACCATCAAGAAGGTATAAGTATGTATAATTGGTTGTCTACACAAGATATTCAACATCCATTCGCCGGATACCATCAGCAACAACAGGCTACTGTGGGAGAGAACAAACCAGCTTCCATCTGAAGAGGAAATTAGGAAAAGACGATGGAAATAGATAGGACATAGATTACGCAAATCATCAAACTGCATCACGAGGCAAGCCCTAGCTTGGAATGCTGAAGAGAAGTGGAAACGAGGAAAGCCAAGAACACATTACGTCGGGAAATAGAATCAGATATGAAAATGATGAATAGGAACTGGAAGGAGCTGGGAAGGATTGCTTGGGACAGGGTTGGTTGGAGGATGCTGGTGGTTTGTTTATACTCCTTTACGAGTAGTAACAGGCGTAAGTAAGTAAGAAGTAAGTCAGATTTGAAAGTATTAGGAACCTGAAAAAGAATCAACTGAAATCTAGTAAAACTGCTACACGTGAATGGTACTGATAAAGAGGAATTCAATTTTATAAAACTCATGGTTCTTGTATATCCTCATTTACAGCCTTACTTACTTACTAATCCCTGTTACTCCCAATGGAGCATAGGCCGCCGACTAGCATTCTCCAACCCACCCTGTCCTCGGCCTCCTCTAGTTCCATCCAATTCTTGTTCATTTTTCTCATGTCTATCTCCATTTCCCGGCCTAATGTGTTCTTTGGTCTTCCTCTTTTCCTTTCGCCTTGAGGATTCCATGTGAGGGCTTGTCTTGTGACACAGTTGGGTGCTTTACTCAATGTGCGTCCTATTCACTTCCAGCGCTTCTTCCTGATTTCTTCCTCCACTGGGATCTGGTTTGTTCTCTCACACAGTACGTTGTTACTAATAGTGTCCGGCCAACGCATCTGAAGTATTTTGCGTAGACAACTGTTAATAAACACCTGTATTTTCTGGATGATGGCTTTTGTAGTTCTTCAGGTTTCTGCCCCATACAGTAGAACTGTCTTGACATTTGTATTGAAAATCCTGACCTTGGTGTCGGTTGACAGTTGTTTTGAGTTCTAGATGTCCTTCAGTTGTAAATATAGTGTTGTTGCTTTACTGATCCGCGCTTTCACATCTGCATCAGATGCACCATGTACATCAGTAATGCTGCCCAAATATGTAAAAGTTTTAACATCTTCCAAATCTTCCTCATTTACGTGGATTACCTAAAATTCATAAATAAAACATTCTTTTACACCCAATTTTATGAATTAGCCGATCAATTACATATAAACTAGTTAAGTGGACAACAGAATTATTAGATCCTATTCGAAGGCATTTGTGTAAGTATTCTCTGAAGGATTCCTTTGAATTGATCGGTTATTCAGTTTATATTAATATCAAGGGCAAGATATTGTGTTTTTCGGAATGAATACCTTGTTCACAAATGTACCTTTAAAAAAGACCATCAATATTTTATGTGACTATGTATGTTTGAACAACCTTACATTACCTGTT